GTTGGAATTTTGAGGTGATTTTTGTTGTGGATCTGGTGATGGAGGTGTTGGATATTGCGGTGTCACAAACAATGTTGGCATTGACGGTGGCGGTCACAATCTAGGTGGTGTAGGTGGCTATTGATGATGGGAGATCTAGGAATTTTGGGTCTCGATTTGTGGTCGTGGCGATGACTGGAATAATTTTTTTTTCCTGGTGGTGGATTTGGTGCGGCGATGTGGTGGTGTTTTCTTCGATGGAGTGATTCGTTTGAGGTGGTGGTGGTGGTTATGGCGACGACGCTGGTGGTGGTGGTGCTGGAGGTGGTAGTGAGATGGTGGTCATATATTATTTAATTGACCATTAAATTAGTTAATCTGTAACCATTAAACAATACGTTATCAATGAAAAATATAAATTGTGACAAAAAAATAATGTGTGATCTAAAAAATTGTTATTTTGCGATCGATAATTTAATAATTTGTGATTGTATAATAAGTTGTGACTTATAATATTTGTGATTTGTAATCGATAAATAAATTGTGACTTATAAATTTTTGATTTGTGACATATGAAATTTTTGAAATGTGATCGTAAAATAATTTTTGAACAATAATTATTACACTAAATGAATATTAAATGAAGTTAAATTATATTAAATGGTATTATATTAAATATACAAGGGTAAAATTGGCATCTAGCTAAAAATATAAGTGATATTTATTAAGAGCATTAATTCAATTTATTCAACATGAAATTGAAAAATGAGTATTGTTTAAGGAATTCAAATGATGGCCTTAAATAATTATTTATATAAATTAAAAAAATATTTTTTAATTTAATTAATAGCATTACACTTAAATGGATATTAAATGAAGTTAAATTATATTAAATTGTACTATATTAATTATATAATGGTAGAATTGACATATAACTAAATATGTAAGGGTAAAATTGGTATTTAAAAGTTTCTCCTCAATCCACACTTTTAATATACTGTAGATTAAGCAAATTAGCGATAAGTGGGTGTGGGTATAGCTGTGTGTGGGAGCATGTACATGAATATGTATGTATGCGACACACATTAGTTATTTTTTAAAACCAACTTATACTTATGGATAAGGAAGAGAGAAGCCAAACATGGTTGAGTTACGTACTATTTTACATAAGTAAATTTGCACTTATAAGAAGGGGTTTATTTAGTCCAAATTACCCCCAGAAGCTTCATCCAAACGCCCTTTTCAAATTCACCTCCATGTACCCCTCATTTCTCTCTCATTTGCGCTCAAGGAAACAAGGCCTTTACAACACATTTCCTTTTTACCTCTTGAAGAAAAATTAATCAAAAATCATTATGTAGAGATCAAGTAGTGATAGAACTTGGAGAAATCAATCTAAGGAGACAAGATAATTATGGGCATGTAGCTCCTTAACAAAATAAGGAGTTCTTCATGTTCGAGACTCAAAACTTTAAAGGTGTTGTAACAAGACAAGAGTAAAAGAATTGAGGATTTTTGTTTATTAAATGAGGAAAATGACAATGTTACGAGGATACTGGTACTTTCACACTTCTTCCTATTAAGATATGGGTATCACAATTTTAGACAATGAGCTAGAGAACATGTTAGTAACCTCGATCCTCTGTCTTATGCAGGCATTTTTTTTCTTTTAAAATTTATTAGTACCTTTATCTTCGAATTTTAACTTAAAAACTTCTTTCTATGCCTCCTGACTTGGAGAAAATCTTATTTTCGTGTCAAAAGAGTAAAACCCCTTTGATTTCTGATTACTTTATGATTGCTTGCCTAATATGTAATTTAATTTCTCATACATGAAAACTCTATACTTTAAATAAGTATGTATTCAAGTTGGTGAAGTTTGCTTCAATCAAAGCTATTGAATTTGCAATCTATGACAGAAGTTTATGATGCATGTAGGAATTGGAGCGAGGATATTCAAAGGTGAGAGGTCTTTCGATGGACGGGAATACCATTTGGACACCAAGATGAATGCTGATTTACCATCTCAAAGATCTAATATAGATATGTTCTTCTCTAGATTAAGTTCTTATACAAGGTGAGATACCTTATTAAAGTATTTTGCAATGTTATAAATCCGATTTCATATAGTCTTTTATAACGCGATTAGATTCTATAATTAAATAAAATTTTCATGTATTCAGCTCGAGTTTCATACTTTATTTTCGTACCTGCTCATCTTAATGGTTAACAAAGCAAACACGAAACAAAGATGATGAATCGATTTATTGTAAATTGTTACATATTATTTTTAACTAGGAAATATCATTTAAAATGAGTTTAAAAGGTAATTTTAAAAACAATGAACAATTTGTCATGTTTTACACCACAGAATATTGATACCCTTGCACTAATCATATACACCATTGACCACCCTTTGAACTACATATCAATTTAAATGAGACAGGTATGCTTAAAAGATGACTTTTTCCACAATTAATTACAATTTATTTTGTTACCTTTAATAAATTAATTAATACCTATAGACTTTACCCAACACTATTCTAATCATGCATGCTAGTGAAAATTTAAATCTAAAATTTGATAATAAATGATTTGAAGTTTTTAATTAATTATTTCTATTATATATATACATAATTTAAATATTAACAAACGCATTAATAAACCTTCATATCTATAAATTTTGAAACTAAAATAAAATGTTAAATATAAGCCTGTATTTTTTTACCATTCAAGTAAAATTTAGTTAAAAGCAATAGTATAAGTTAGTTTATTAAAATAATATACCCCTTCAAAATTTATTATTAAACAATAATCACGTTATGCCCTGGTTTGACAATCATTATTTAAGAGAGAATATATTTTTAAATAGTAATTTTTAGAAGAATGTGTGATTAAAAATTAAGGAAAGATTTTGAATTTATGTGCAAAATATTTTATTGTGTGAATGTGTAGTTAAAAATGAGTATGTAGAAAAAAAAAGTTTGAAAATAATGGTTGTCAAACAAGGCATGTGATGTTAATGTGATATGCATATACTAATCATTACAATATTTCAAAATAAATAAGTAAATTGAAACTACGCCATTATTTGATCCCAATATTTTCAAAATAATTTTTCTTTCCCTTCTCTTCAACCACATATTATTCAATAAAATAATATTACACGTAAACTCCATTTTTTTAACCACACATTTTTCATCAATCGACTATTTTAAAATGCAATCTTAATAAAAAATGTGGCTCAAACAAACTCTTGTGTGAATGAGTACATAGATGATATGTCAATTTATATTCTTTAAATGTATTATGATTGATCATACAAAAATCATCTTTTATTATTATTATTATTATTTTTTTTTTTTTGAAAGGATAGGTAATTAGCCTCATTTTAGATGACACGTGGTTAAAAATAGTGGTTATACTGACGCTACAATTTTTACTTGTTATGCCACATTTTAATTGAGTTAAGCTCTTCAATCTTTGCTCATTCTAGTAATTATTTTCTTAACCCTTTTATATCGATTTTTTTATCTTTAACCTTCCATTAATTAGCACGTCTAGTCTTTGATGATGATTTATATCAAAATATTATATTTTTATACTTTGAAACGAGGGAAAAATATTTTTTAAAATTTTTATTCATTCATTTTTAAAAAAATATATATAATGAAGAATTTAAAACTATCCCAATAAATTAAGGATATCTTGTGCAATATATGATAAATTATTTCATTAAGGGTATTATTGACATTTTACCAAAAATGAATAGTAGTAGGCCATTTATAAAAATCTCCCGGAATTGTAACTGAAAAAGGAAAAGAGTCACAGACCAAAGCTAGTGGTACATGAGATAAGCGAATATGGTGCCAAGGTGACGACGGACTGACAATGCGAATTCAGACCCAATTGTATTTGCAGAAATTGCGATTGCGTACTAGTTGCTGCTTTTTCGCGTCCCATTTGCACAAATTCGCTCATTCAGCTCCTCTCTATAAAGCTTGCTCATTTCGGTTTTAATCTCCTCCTCTTACTGTATACGCAGGACCTTTGCGTTAGCTTCTTTCAGTTTTTGTTTTCATGGGGGATCACGGCAAGGCCAAACTGGATATTTCATTCGCTGGAACTTTTGTCAGTAGTGCTTTCGCTGCTTGCTTCGCCGAGGTACAGTCGATTTTTCAATCTGCATATCAGCAGTTTTTGAACTGCCTATATAAAATTTGTTTGGCTTCAGATCAGCTGCTTGTTTTCGTGCTTGAATTAATGTCTATGAAATTTGTGCCTATTTGATGTTTTTAATCGTTATATTATGATCTGCTATTGAGTAGGTGAAATTTCATATAATGTTGGTTTGATTTTAGTACAGGAGTAGATTGATCTGATTTGAATTTTTCACCTTCTGAATAGTTTGATTTTACTTTGTCCTTAAGTACATATTATGGTCATCCTATTAGGAGTGTAATTTTCATATTTTGTGTACCACCTAACTTATGCAGTGCTTATAATGAATAGATATGTACAATTCCATTGGATACTGCCAAGGTTAGGCTTCAGTTGCAGAAGAAATCTGTTGCCGGGGATGGGATATCTTTGCCAAAATATAGGGGATTGTTGGGTACAGTTGGCACCATTGCGAGGGAAGAAGGTTTATCTGCATTATGGAAGGGCATTGTGCCAGGATTACATCGTCAATGCCTGTTTGGAGGTTTAAGGATTGGATTATATGAACCTGTATGTTTTACATGAAATTGTGTGAGCGAATGCATACTTGTTCTTTTTGCTTCATTGGGTTTAATAAAGTGACTTTTTACTTTGTTGGCAGGTTAAAACCTTTTATGTGGGCAAAGATCACGTTGGGGATGTGCCGTTATCAAAGAAAGTACTTGCTGCACTCACAACTGGTTAGAACATCTCGATGATGTTTTGAATTTTTATTTATGTACGAGCACAAAATTTTAGAAGATTTGTGTAGGATCTTAAATATTTAAGAGACACATGGTGTTAATCTTCATTCTTCTGTTAACTTTATACTTTCACAATAGTAACTGGCCACTTCTATATGACACAGGTGCTGTGGCTATTACAATTGCTAATCCTACCGATCTTGTGAAAGTGCGACTTCAAGCTGAAGGTAAACTGCCACCTGGTGTGCCAAGGCGGTATTCTGGAGCAGTAAATGCGTATTCATCTATCATGAGACAGGTAGCATCTCTTAATGTTCTCTTGCCTCTTCATCCTCCCTCTTGGGAAAATGAGCATTTAAGGATTAACTTCTTTCCCTCACTCCGTGTTACTATTTGGAACTTTAGGAAGGAGTTACAGCTTTGTGGACTGGACTTGGCCCCAACATTGCACGTAATGCTATCATAAATGCTGCTGAATTAGCTAGTTACGATCAAGTAAAGCAGGTGCCCAATCACTGTAAAGTGCATCATCGCGTTTCCACTTTCTTATCTTTTGAATGTATTATTTTCTATTTTCTTCTTCACTTATACCTCCATAACTGTCAAGCAGACAATTCTGAAAATCCCTGGCTTCAGCGACAATGTTTTCACCCATCTCTTAGCTGGTTTGGGAGCTGGTTTTTTTGCAGTCTGCATAGGATCTCCAGTTGATGTGGTAGCCTATTTGTACACAGCTTTTTTACATGTTTAGATTTTATTTTTTTGGTGGATTCTTTTTCTTGTGTCTTTGAATGAAAAGGAAGAGACGGTATATGGAGATTTAGTACCTAGGCTGCTAAATTTCTCGCATGACTCGGCGAAGATATATAATTCCTGAAATGAAGCTTGGTAGCCTCACATGTAGTCATCTTACTCAAATTATTCTCTCGCACAGGTCAAGTCGAGGATGATGGGAGATTCCACATACAAAAGTACACTTGACTGTTTCGTCAAGACTTTAAAGAATGATGTAAGTTTATTTTCTTAATCACAGCTTTATTATTTTTAATCCATGATTCAGGTTGTCATTTTCTTTTGAAGGATTATGTAACCTAAGCTTGTCATCAGCTGTGTATGGGCGTGGGGGCCAGATCAAGAGTAACAGAGTGACGGTTCCTGAAGCTTTTTGGGATCCTCGCTAGAATTTTTGAATATATTGAGGTGGAAATTTGTACAAAATTTAAACAACTAAAAAATTTCATAAATAAAATGTGACCAATTAACCAACCAATGATATAAAGGGCAGAATTAAGACAAATACAGATCAAATTGAAGGAATTTTTTAGCCTGGAATTGGTAGAAATTTCACCCTTAATGTTCTGGTGACCATAAATATCTTGGAGTGAGATGGAAGAATTACTTCTAAACATTTCCTGTCAATGTTCCCTATGTACAAGAATTTGAATAAATTTCTGTATGTTGTACAAAATGTAACCAAAAAATCCCTTTTAAGGGGGATAAACCTCAAGTCTTCCTCGGAACAATTATGTCCTCCTGATATTATTCAGAGATCAATTAGAGAAAAGTAGGCACATTAACTTGTCATCAGGTTTGCTCTTCATAGCCAGCCTGAAAAAACGGCTGTGCAGGTGACTGCATTCCTAAATTCTTTCTCTGGTTCCTTTCATTGCTTCTCAATGCTAACCTGCTTAAACTGCACTCTTTCTTCCAACATCCACTCGAAGTGGGGTTGCCCTATTTGGTCAAGCCAAGCAAGTACTTGTGTGTTTAGAATCTGGAAAGATATCTTGGATTCAAACGAGTCCTGAGAATTTGGTGCTGCAAACTATAATTTGCAAACAAGGCAAAATGTATTATTAAAAGCCAACTTGGTTAATAGTTATTACTCTTGCGACTTGTTTGAAACTGATCTTTTTTTCTTTAATATTAATGTTTTCTTATATCATTTTGACTTTTTAAAATGACCAATATGTGTTGTTCTCCCACTTTTTCTCTTGGCTCTCCTCTTTCTTTCTCCTGCATGCTCAAATCTGTATTTCGGAATTGTTCTTGTTGAACAGGAGAGGCTTCTTTTGCAATTTACCGGTATCTTATGACAAATAGACTAAAAAAGAAAAAAATCGCTTGATCTTGTTCATACGAACACTTTGTCGTGTTATCTGCCATGCAGGGACCTTTAGCCTTCTATAAAGGCTTTATTCCCAACTTTGGAAGGCTAGGATCTTGGAATGTGATAATGTTTCTAACGCTGGAGCAGGTATGAATATGCTGTAACCTGCCTTCAAAAATAGAAAATTTTTGATTTTATCGTGCTCTTTCACCAACATTAAACATGTTGAGGCAGGCTAAGAAGTTTGTTAGAAGTATAGAGTCATCATAAAAGCAGAAGGAACAGAGCACAAGGCCTTTTCTGAACGCATCATTATATTAATCTGCAGCTGTTAGACGCCGTATGGCTGAAATAATGTATCTTCAGCTGCCTTTTTTTTTTTGCAATTAATAATGCTTACTTGCTAGAGGAATGAATGTATTTTAGGGAAACAGAAACTTATCTGATTTTCCTTGATTTTTTAATATCAGAACAAGAACTTTTCTGTTCTCTCCCTCCATATGCTTAAAATTAATATAGTAGATTAAATTATTATTGTTGTTGTTATGTTATTTGAATTTGACAAGTAAGATCGCAGGTAATGTGACATCAGGATTTGAAATCTGGCTTTCATTCGTTCCCCTCTGGGTTTGGGGGAAAATCCTATTTTGCTCTCTATAATGGGTCTCTCTCTTCGTTTCTTCCTGCAGTTGAGGACGAGAGAACATATTAGTTTCAATACACAAGAGAGAACCCACCTATCATTTCATCCAGATGATCCTTCGAGTCACATGAAATCCCATTTCCGAAATGAGACTATCTTGATTGAATCTGTTCCTTCTCTTCGATTTTTTTGTTCTTAATTATGAAATAAAGAATCTATTGATAGTTGATGTAGTCGAGAGAGATAATGTGTCTTGTTTTCACCTTCTATGGGACAAACACAAATTGAAGATATTGTTTTTACAAAATTGACAAACACGGCCAAGAAAATGTGTGAGCCAAAAAGAAAAGAATGTGGAAACAAAGCAAATGCATCGTTAGTTAAATTTCTTTGCCTCCAAAATCCATTTCCGAACCTTGCTGATACACACTGCATCAAATCTTATGTAAAACAGTTGCAGCTTTCTGTAGCTCTTAAGCGCATATGTATCAATACAATCTTCATATCTTTCATAAAGTGCCGGAACTGTAAGAACAATAAACAGGCCTGCCATAATACAGGGAAGAAAATGGCTAATGAAAAGGGAATTGCATATTTGCCTAGAACAAGAGAAATTTAAGAAACATTACATGTATAAAAACTTGTACCATCCTATGTGATCTAATATTGCATATAAAACATGATATAGAGGGCTTTGATAATCTTAAATTGAAATCACGAGACCATGAAACTTACTGGTGTAGCCCAATGTGAGAAAATCAGTGACACTCCCGATTACAGATATCAGCAGAAGACTTAGAGCCACTTTTATGAACATTTCTGAGTCCCGACCAAGTGCAATATCCTCAAAAACAGATAGCAAGGCATTTACGTGATAGCGAATGAGCGTTGCTGCTTCATTTGTGACTTCTTCTGAGATATGCAAGTGTGGTATAGGTGGAGAAGGTCTGCTTCAAATCATTTACTGAATAATCAAACAAGCAGAACAACAGTTTGTCGAAAACTAAATAATGAAAAATGTATCCCCTCTCTAATAGTTAGAACTTTGTCATGCTTAGATCTGTATTTGTCTATATTCTGTCCTTTATTTGAGGAGATTTTCTTTGGCAAATTGTTCTTGTCCAGGTTATTCCAGTTCAACTGTAGTAATCTGAGCATGCAATTCTTTTTTCTTTCAAAAAATTTGAGCATGCCTGGAATTGTAGCTAGAACTTAGAGAGAACAAGATACACTTCAAAGCTCGCGGTCGAGGAGAAAAGTGTACGCACAATCTATAAACTATATTGTCAATCAGCATCAAAACATGTTTAAATAGGAAAATGAATCCGGAAACATATGTAACCTGTTCAAAATTGCTGCTGATTTTGCCCAAAGGAAAAGAACTGTGAAGAGAAGCAAGAGCACACTTGAGGATAATGAAAGCAGTGTATAACCAGATATCTCAAACACCACCCAAGCAGCCAAAGTCACCACTAAAATTCCTGCTGTCAGATTCTTTCGCCTCCATAGCATCAAATCTGCAGCTGTTACAACACTACAGCCTCAGAATTGAATTTATTATTACTAATGTGAACGGATTGTGAAACGAGCATTTCTGATGGTGACTTACCAAGTCCTCCTCCAAGAATTTGATGAACAGTTCTCTGCCTGGAAAACAACCGATCTGACGAACCCATTTTCAAGAACTCGGAAACAAACAGAACCCACAAACCAATTTAATTCTATGGCTGGAAAATGATTTAGGTTTCTACTCTTTGTAAGGAAGTAAAGATCAGTTTGTTCTGTAAAGCTCTGAATACACCATTGGCCTTGTTACAGTACCACTGTTTGTGTGGGGTTTTCGTTGACGTGGGGTAAGTGGTTCTCAAGTTATTACAGCTTAAAAGCTTGAAAATACTTCTCTTTATTGATTTCTTTTTTCAATTCTAGATAATAAAGTAGCAATCCGCGGGCGGTGGAAGGGTTGGTGGTTTCTTGTTTACCTACTGTAATCTTGCCAATTAAGCAGATTCTTAAAAATGAGTACAAGTTTTCATAATCTCATATGCTATTTATCTACTTTACAAATCTATTAACCAAATCTACTTCAGAGAAAAAAAAAAAAAAAAATTACCCAAGGAGGTTAAGACCTAGTGAATTTGTTTGTGTTCATCGTTTTCAAAAAAAATATTAAACTTAAGAAACATAAGATATAATAACAACTCTTGTAGACTTTAGACTCAAGTAAAGCATAATTAATCTTGTGAATTAAAGAGATTAAATAGTTGTTCTTTCATAATGTCAAGTATAAATGTTGTGACAATTACAACTTTGTCAACTATTACTACCTAATCATTTTCTTTATATCTGCTCCAAAATTACTACATATTACTTTGTTAGTATATGTTTGACAAGTGTTTATGAGGAGTAAATTTAATGAATGCTCATTGAACTTTATATTACATTACTACTTGCTCGCTAAACATTACTCATTGCTCACTATCTATCAAATTGCCTACTCGTTGATCACTCATCTGATTTTCGTCACTTTAAACTAACGGAATCTACCAATGTGGCACATCACACATGAAATGGGCCAAAAGTGTAGAAAGCCACTCCCGGACCTTCATCTTCTTCCTCCAGTTCTTGGACCTTGGATACAACCTAGTAAGTGCAGCAGATTTGGGGGCGAATTTGGGTTTCGATTTGGGACACTTTGTTCATGGGTACATTTTGGCAAGAAAATGAAAGCTGGAATTGCTGTTTGACACCCGTTCGATCTTGGAAAGAAAAAGCACAAAGCCATGGCTACTTCGTTGGCTGCAACCTTCGCTCGATCTGCCTCGATGATTCCCCGCCGTGGCCTCATTGGCGTCGCTGATCATCATGGACCACCTAAGGTTGATTTCTAGAAAAACCCCATGAGTCCATCCAAGAGGAAGGAAGAACACTTCGTGAATGTCTCCTTATCTGGTTGAGGTTTGCTTTTCTTTCGGGTGTACAAGTTCTTCACGGGAGTCAAGAAGAACAATGAGAAATTTGTGGAAGCAACACATTAGATTATTGTCATTTTGTGGTTTTTGGTTGATCATTTGGTGGAAAATGTAAGGGAGGCAGAGTTGGGATTTCGCCTGTAAATCCATGTTGGCAGGGTTTCTAATTTTCGGTTGAGATTTTTATTTATTTATTTATTTTTTTTATTTCATGTCTGATTTATGTGCCACGTGGGATTTCCCCCTCCATGTGGCACATTCCGTTAGTCTAGGATGAGGGAGATCAGTTGGGTGATGAAAGGGTAAGAAACTAGATAGTTGGATGAACAATGAGTTATATTATAATGTTTGATGAGCAAGTAGTAATGTATTCTAAAGTTCAGTGAGCATTGATTAAATTTCCTTGTGTATGAGCATATTAAAAATTATTAATATTATCTTTTTTTATTATTTTATTATTTATTTCTTGTAGTGGATAAAAATTATTTCTACAAGCGAGTGAGACATTTTGGAAACAAAAGTCTTGCTTTTAAATATTCTTTTCATTTTTCCATTTTTCCTGCATCAATTAAGTCTTGTTTGGCCCCCATTATATTAAAATTCATTTTTGTCTCTCATCTTATTAATTACCCATTCTCTAATAAAATATTATTACACATAAATTTATAAGCTTTTTTTCCTTTTTAACCATACATTCTTTAAAAAATTACTATTTCTTTTATTATAAGTCTATTTCAATTGCTTTAAGCAATGATAATTAAAAAAAATAATTATATTTTATTAGTCAATACGTAAACAAAATTACTGTAATTTTCTTTAGGGTTTTAGAAACGAAGTGATTCGAATCATCATTACAGATAATAATATCTTATATAAGAAAACGATACTTCAAAAATTAAAAAAATATTGGTATATATTTGCATTTACACAGACAAGGAAATAGAAAAAAGAATTGATTAATAGGACAAGGTAACGTGGATGTGGAGCCTAGGAAGATAAGCATAAAATCCATCGAGCAATGACACGTGCGCAGGCAGCAAACTCTCACGTGACACTCAGCTCCGGATCAGGGTTGTCAAGTCCGGACCCGTTTTTGTTTAACGGCGAAACCGAAAAAGGTTGGCTGGCTCAAACTCAATGAGTTAGGTTTCTCTTTCATCTGTGTCATAGAGAGTATCGAAAAATAATATTAGAAGCATTTTTTTCTCCATGAACTTACACACGAACAAAATACACTCTTTGACGATCTTCTCGATGCTCTTTTTCTCTCTTCTTCCTTCATAATCTCTCTCTCACACACCACGCACTCTTCAACTCCTTCAATTGCGTATCCAGATCTTTCATTCCGATTTTAATCGTCTTTGATTGCAGGTTTGTTATACTTTGAAAATCATATTAGTGTGCTGGATGCACGAATTCCTTTGTTTTGTTAATTGGAATCTGAATTTAATTTGAGGATTTATGCTTTTAACATTTCCTAATTAGAGGTGTGCACTGCTTGGTTGAATTAGCTAATAGTCCTTTTATTATCATTATTTCGCGTACACTGTTATATCTAATGTTGTCTGACCAAAAATATGATCCTTTTTAATGGAAAATCAAGCTATATCGGGCCATGTCTTTCTCCTGTTTTCTTTGGAGCTGCATATACTGTTAATTTCTGTTTTTGTTTTCACTACTTGATTTTTGATTTTATAATTCTCATTAATATATTCGATTACTGCATTAAGTTATCTGTTTGTTTCTTGGTGTAATAACTGAAAAATTTACCTCTCCTGCATGCTTACAGCTGGTCCCGTTCTGTTGGTTGCTCTGTTTAATAGCTTAAACATCTTATGAGATATTAGAAACGAGAAAGTGAATGTGCTCTATGCTTATTAAATTTTTATATCTATTTAAATCCATTAGTGAAGATTATCTAAAAGTATATTAATCAGTGTTGAACTAAAATTCAAACTATAATTGGTTATGTATTATATTTGTTGTCAGTTTGTTTGTTAAAGAAGAGATACCATTTATGAATTGGGTCATAACTGTTGTTTTGTTATGCTACTCCTGTTTAAAAGCAATCCTAGTATAATCTGATATTTTACTTTTCACTTATATTTTGGTCCCAAATTCAGAGGTTTATATCTCAAACTTTGCTCCATCGCATGTCCAATATCTCTGTTTATTCATTTAATAATTTTGGCTTGATTTTTGAGATACATTTAATAGGAAGCAGATAACTGATATGTTCTCTTTAGTGTTATTGATTTCTGTCTTCAATATGTAATAGATGCTTACTGCTTGCCTCAGCTACTAAAAGTGTCATTTTCCGAACTTTAACCCTCAATTTCCTTTAATGGTTCTTCTTTTTCTCTCTTTGATTTTTCTTTTTGGTAATTCAATTACTCATTAAATCATGTCCTATTGTTGGCTGAAAAAGGATTCACTACACGGAGTAATCCGCTTGCACAAGTGGAAAAATGGCCTCAATGACCCAATCTACCGTGTCATTTACTGGAAATTTGGCTTCCAAACCCTCTGCTTCAGATCTTCTTAAAAGTTCTAGTAATTCTATTTGTGGTGTACCCCTAAAAGCACTTGGAAGAGCCCAACTAGGAGCAAAACGGAGAGACTTTACTATCTCTGCAAAGGTTAGGAAAGTGAAAAGGCATGAATATCCATGGCCAGAGGATCCTGATCTGAATGTGAAGGGTGGAGTCCTCAGCCATCTCTCACCTTTCAAGCCTTTGAAAGAGAAGCCGAAGCCAGTGACCTTGGATTTTGAAAGGCCTCTTTTGGATCTGCAGAAGAAAATTGTTGATGTAAGAACCATTTAAACTTTTGTGTTTGTTTATGGAAATTTGTTGGTACAGAAAATGTGATTTTTTTCTTTTTTATAATTATACAGGTGCAAAAAATGGCAAACGAAACTGGGCTGGACTTCAGTGATCAAATAATTTCTCTAGAGAATAAATATCAACAGGTGTAGCCAATCATACATGCAACCAAATTACATTCCCATCTTACTTTTCTTTCACGAGCACAATAGTTGCTACCTGTGTCTTGTGCTGACTTCTGCTATTTCAGTACAATCTTTACAATTTAAAGGCTAAACTTACAAATGCTAGTTGTAACTTCAATTTTCATATTATTATAGCTGAAAATTTGATTTTACATATTTATTCATTCGTTTCATTGCAGGCACTGAAAGATCTGTACACGCATTTGACTCCTATACAGCGTGTGAACATTGCACGGCATCCTAATAGGCCAACATTTCTTGATCATGTCTTCAATATTACAGAGAAGGTCTGGTAGCTTCTCTAGTCTGACATTCAATTTGCAATTTTAGCTCTGTAAAATTTTAGTTTTTACCTGCTATATTCCCATATAGTTGTCATTTGTATTCAGGTAAACAATAATTTATTAGTAGTAGAAAACTACTAGGGATGAGAGATATTCATATCATAACAAATCTTTTGATTTCCAACTATCCAGTTTGTAGAGCTCCATGGTGATAGAGCTGGATATGATGATCCTGCTGTGGTTACTGGTCTTGGTACAATTAATGGTAGGAGTTACATGTTCATGGGTCATCAGAAGGGACGAAATACAAAGGAGAATATTCAGCGCAACTTTGGGATGCCTACACCCCATGGGTATGCATTTAGGAAACAAGTTGCTTGTTGTATTTTAAACTTCTAGATGAAGTTGTACATATTGAAAAAAAAACCCCTTAGGTCCTAGTTGCTTAGGAATAACCATTTGACACACATGCATTCAATCATTTATTGATATGGAAAATTCCATTTTGCCACAATGTGTTAAGCTATAAAATGAGAAAATGTATTTATCCCATGCTAAACTACGTGTTTTGTTTCCAATAGTTATCGGAAGGCACTACGCATGATGTACTATGCAGATCACCATGGATTTCCAATTATTACATTCATTGATACTCCGGGGGCATATGCTGACCTTAAGTCCGAGGAACTTGGCCAAGTATGTGTATAGCAATGGTGGAATCCTTCAGGGTGACTGGAATGTGGAAGTTAATCATTTGTTTTACTGTATGTAGGGGGAAGCAATAGCTCAGAACTTAAGGACTATGTTTGGTCTGAAAGTACCAATTGTCTCAATTGTAATGGGAGAAGGTGGCTCTGGTGGAGCTCTTGCTATTGGTTGTGCCAACAAACTATTAATGCTTGAAAATGCAGTCTTCTATGTTGCCAGGTGCTTTTAAATTGGCAATTAGCATTATTACTCTGGTATTACATTGTTCAAGGTGCTTCTTTGTTATGCTGATGGTTTACATACCGCTTGGATGATCATGGATTTCTTAATCCTTAATTGCACTCGTGGATGGTTATTGACAAAAATTTCCTTTCAACTACCTCATCGAGAAGTCTTTTTTGTATCAACCTTTAATGCTGCACACAGACTCATAACATCCACTATTTCATTGTTTCGTGAATGAATTTTAATGCAAGTGCATTGTCTCTTTATCATCTTTTTCAACATCAGGCATCTCAATATTACTTTTTATCTGCGGTTCCCCTTCAGGGACTGCACGAGTACTGATCCTCCTTGGCCAATGAGGCTCAGTGGTATCCTATTTTTTGCAAGTGTCATTGTCTATTAGAATGCACATTTTGATCAGGCAGTAAATAGCCATAGTTTGACAATATCAACCTCCTTTGCGGATTGGTTTATGAGAGAGGGCCAGAATACTTTGATTTCTTATGTTTTTGAAGCCACAATTCTACCTTACACGTAGCCAACAGATCTGATATTTGTAAAATCTGATGTTAAAGCCCTTCCCATAGACTTCTTTTAAGAATTGGCTTGTAGTTCTGTTGTATTATCAATGATCACTTCAACTATCAACTTTCCCATAATGATATCTATTTTACCTAGTTTGATCATTGAGTTGTTACCTTGTTTTCATTTCAAAACATGTACATGCTAAACCCAAAAGGTATTAATGAGTGACAGAATGGAGGGTGAATTGTGGTAAGCTAACTCTTTACACTTAGTTAAATATATCATTATTACCTTACTCATTTTCCAACGAAGACAATTGACAATTAATCTTACAGGCAGATCTGCACACATTTTTATGTTGACTGTGTGGATTTATTATTAATGGGATTATTCTCTTTCTCTTGCTGAATATTATTTGAAACATTGTGTGCGAGTCTTTCCCAATCATAAAATCCTTGAAGTTGCACTAAATTTTGTTTCCTTCAAAATAAATAATTTAATTTGGTTCGTTTACTTGTCAACTTCCGATTCACATTCCTCTCCATGGTACAGCCCAGAGGCATGTGCTGCAATCTTGTGGAAGACTGCTAAAGCTTCTCCAAAGGTGGTTTGACGATTTCTGATCTGTTACTTTTTGTTTTGAATAGAGAAAATTGTTTAACTCAATATACTTCCATCTTGTTCCAGGCAGCTGAGAAGCTAAAGATAACAGCTAAAGAACTGTGCAAGCTAGAAGTTGCTGACGGCATCATCCCTGTAATATTCTTTCACCATTTTATTGATTTCATCTCGTTTACCATGACTCTACCTCATCACCTGATATCCTTTCTTTGTTCTTGACCTAAAACTGTGTTACTCTATTTTTAGGTAGCAGATTTTTAAATGGTTATATGTTGTGCTATAAGCATGAAATGTAATTTGTTAAAGTTTTATCCAAGAAGAATATTATATGCATTTTATACCTTATTGCATTGCTTCTTCTGTAGAAAATTTTATTTCGTGTCATCTCCAAACTTAAACAACCTTTTATGATTATTAATTGGAATTTATGACTCATTTTAGGAACCTCTTGGCGGTGCGCATGCTGATCCATATTGGACCTCACAACAGATAAAAACTGCAATTGTTGAATCAATGGATGTGAGTGGCGCCTACTTCTTTTCAATGATACTGTTCATGTGTTTATCAGAAGCCTAAGCCATGTCTGATTTCTACAGGAACTTGTAAAAATGGACACAGAAAAACTGCTAAAACATAGGGCTCAAAAGTTCCGTAAACTTGGTGGATTTCAAGAGGGAATTCCGATAGATCCAAAGAAGAAGGTCAATATGAAAAAGAAAGAAGAAGCCATAGTTGTGTCTAAGACTTCAGAAGTGGAGTTAAGGGATGAGGTTCAGAAACTGAAACAGCAGATTGAGAAAGCTGGTAAAGTGTCTGCAGATCATCCGGAGCCAGGTCTCAATGAGATGATAGAGAAGTTGAAAAGAGAGATTGATTATGAATATGAAGAAGCTGTAAAAGCGGTAGGTTTGGAGGACAAAATTATAATGTTGCGCGAAGAAGTTGCAAAAGCAAGGAATTTAAAAGACCAGCTCACACCAGCATTAAAGGAAAAGATTGAACAGTTGAATGATGAATTTAACAAAAATCTTTCCACATCTCCTAATTACTCCAGCCTGAAATATAAACTTGATATGTTGGAGGAGTTATCCAATGCTCAGAATATGTCAGAAAAGGGCACCGACGCTGACAAACTGAAAGCGGAAATTGATAAGAGATTCAAAGAAGTCATGGATCGGCCTGATTTAAAACAAAAGATTGAAACAGTTAAGGGTGAAATTGCAAAATCAGGGGTGTCCGAAGTAGTTAATTTAAACCAAGATCTAAAGGAAAAATTTGTGCAGTTGAGCCAAGAGTTAGAGTCAGAATTTAAAACTATCCTTGAATCTATGGGTTTGCAGGTGTATCCACGATCAGCCCTGGAAGCGAAGGCAAAACTAGACAACCTCAACGAAGAAACTAATATGATTATAGAAGATGTTATCAATTCCTCAAACTTGAAAGACAAAATTGATCTGCTAAAGATGGAAATGGCAAATGCTGGAAATGCACCTGATGCTGAGTCAAAAAATAAGATTCAGGCTTTGGAGGCAGAAATCAAGCAGGCTGTTGCTGATGCTGTAAGTTCCCCTGAACTGAAAGACAAGTACGAGAAGCTGCAGGCTGAGATAGTTGAAGCCACTAAATCTTCTGTTGGATCAGACGGAAGTTCGGTAAAACAAAATGTAGAAGATGACAAGTTGAAGCATGATGGATCGCCAGTAGAAGTCAATTCAGAAGCAAACCGCAGCTTTGTCTAAATGTAAGTGCATAAAATTTTGTTGTTTCTCAATGTCTTTGTTGAGCATGATTCCGTGACGAATTGTTGTTCACAGATGAGATTCTTATAAAATTAAGATGGTCGTGAATAAATCTGTTGAACATGCTGTGGATAGGGGAACTTTCTTCAATCTTCGGTTTTTTCCTGCACCAAGCCCCAGAGGTTTTGAATTCGCAAAAAAGTGTGATGGTGGCTCATAAGTTATGCTTTATTCAGCTTGTTTTTCCTTCTTAGACTAAACCTTTAAACTTTACATTGTTTAGATTTTAGTTTTTAATTTATGTTGCTTTGGAGTTGTGTTAACTGCCTTTTGTTTAAGCAGATAAAGAAACATATAGTTGTATAATTAAATGTACGAGTTCCAAGATTAACGGAAAAGCATTGTTAATAATCTGAAATATTTCAAGTGGCTTTGCTTCTTGGGGGGCATGAAAGTTATGAGTAAACAGGCAGAGCACTGTTATCCTTTCAAAGCTAAGTCATGTTAGCCCTGTCAAATGGACCGTTCCTGCCTAAATTTAAAATGTTAATGACCAAGATTGAGTTTCAAGTAGAAACTGCATTCAGGAAGATCCAAATATGTATGAGCCCTGAGTACTCATCCAAGGATTATTAGTAAACGAAAAGAGCAAGATTGAAATTCCAACATAAACTATCTTGCAATTCTACCTAATGACAGCAAGTTTGAAGTAAATCCAGATTGATGAACAGTGGTATTGTCTTGAATGATTGAGGTTAAATGTAGATTATAGAATGAATTAAGATCAAGACTTGTCCCCCGTTTGGTTTGTTGATAAAAATTTAAGGTAAAGTAAACAATTAATTATAATCTCACATTTGATGGGATCCTAAAGTTTTGTTCAACTTTTTAACTCCACATTTCATTAACTTTTATTAAAATTGACTAAAAATCTTATTTTTAGCAAAACCAACCAGGGTCAGAATTTCACTAGTCAACTGATGTTGATGTTGGTGAACTTTTGAGGCATGTTTGATATGTAGTATTGAACATAACTTTTATCCTTTTTATTGTTTTTATTTGAATAAATAAAGCCCAAAAACAAAATTAAAATTAACTGTGTTCTCCTTCTTCAATACTATGGTGCAAAACCATTAATATAAGCTAGATTATACATTTGAATACTTCTCAATAGACGTATACCTCTGTCTAGAATACTCTCTCCCCAGTAGCGTAGAGATTCCAAAAAACAGTTGCAGTGAAGTAGAGACATGACGTGAGAGCTAAGAATGCTTGAAAAGATCCTAGCCACTGTACAAAGAATCCTGTCCCGATTGTGCTGATTATTGCTGCCAATGTCCCGGCAGAATTTGAAATCCCTGGTCCAAAAGTTTTCCCATAAAACAACATTAGAGAATTACAAGAAAAACAAGAAGACAAATTTGGAGTGAATTTAAGAACATACCGTGAACAAATCCTGCATACTGTGGTGCAATATCCTGATCAAATAATCAAAAAATATGTGTTGATTTGGGCTACACATTGTACTACTTGTTGCTGAAGAAGGAAATAATTGTAGATTAACCTTTTTACTAAAGTTCAACATACAAATCTTACTTGCATATTTAGTAAAAAGCCAGCTTGGCTGAAAGAGCTCAAACTCAGGCCAACTGTAATGAATATAGATGCAACTGCAGGCGATCTAGCATAGTTCAAACAGAGCAGTGCCACCCCTGGGCCAACGAAACCTATCGACTTTCATATCACGAAGCAGATGTTAGAATGGAATATCCGCAGGTTTTGAGGTGAAAAATTAATTGTATCGACTAATGGTTTGAGTTATACAAGTAAACTTTGTTAGTTTGGATCACTTCTATTACAGACATGATTTCTGCTTCAGGAAATAACTACTCCATTCCTCCATTTCCTTAGTTTATCTACTCTTCTTTTGGGGGGAATTTTTGGAAACAAGGTGAAGGTTCGAATCCAAGATTTTTCATTTTTGCCTTTTGAGATATGATCTTATGTTTTGAAGTAGTAATTAATCTTGCTGTCTTGAGAGATTGAGCATGACGATATTTGTGGTAACATGTTTCTTGTTCCATTTTACAATGTGAAATTTCCACTATATTCTGGTAACAACTAAGCATAGTAATGTGTGATACTAGTCTCAAAGGAACGACATTTTTGTTTTACTAGAATGTCCTGACTGCACATTAGAAATTCTTATTCATCAACGCAGTATGATGAGATCCCAAACCTTCGTTACCTGCATGATTTTTCTTGCTGTAGTAATAGAATACCCTGATTTTATCAAGTAATCAGATGTTGCCCCTGCAATGTAGCCTGAGATTGCCATTGTTCCCCATGGAATGGCACTGAACCAAGCTGCTTGTTTCAAATTTACATCGAACACCTAACACGTCGGCATTGAAGATTTATATTAGCAGTAGAATGTCGAATTACAAGGTAGTTAGGATAGCTAAAATGTAAGTGTAGAAGACACTACTTTAAAATAATAATAATAATAATAATAATAATAATAATAATAATAATAATAATAATACTATTTTCTTGCATTTTCTCAAGGTGCAAGACTTCTTTCTCGTTCTTTTTATTAGTCAGTGTATGGAAAATTCTGACCACAATGATGAGGATGAGAATGAGAATAAGGGCAAATCTAGAAGGAAAATAATCACTCACAGTTTGAAAATAAACAGGCATCCATGATAGAAGAACAAAGTATCCCTGCATTTATGAACAAAAAACAACAATCAATAGCATGAGAACTAAACTTTACCTAATTTCAGAATTGGAAACTCAAAAGTGAGAATAGAAACCTAACCCAGTTGTTAGTGATATTAGCAAAAATAATTGCCCACGTGGGCATTTTTGATAAGAGAAGGCCTAAAGGTGGAAGCTTTCCCTTGATGACTTGACAGTCAGATTTCCCAGCTTGGATTAAACGCAACTCGGATTTACTTATAGAATTGCTCTCTAGTGGGTCATTCGTCACTCGATATGACCATGTCATTAACCAGAGAAATCCAAGAGACGAGAAGAGAATGAAAGGACCAGAAATTCCGATTGATGACATTAGCAGAGGAGTTAAGATCAATCCCACAACATTTCCAAGATGGAACCCGCCCATAGCTATTCCAACAGCAGAAGCTCTTTCATGGCTTGGAAACCACCTAATAAAAAACAGACATACAAGAATAGAATTACTGTTAATAAATTTTCAATGTTGAGCACAAATTCAGCCTTCTCTATCTTAGTGAACTAGAAAGTTTCTTTTATAGTTATTGAGAAAAAGCACTTCTTCTCCAACCAATGGAATGACCAATCCAGTATGATTAAGTAAATGGTGAAAAAATATTACCTTGATAAAAGGGTGTTCATGGAAGGTAAAGCAACTCCTTCGGCTAATCCAAAAAATGCTCGGACAGCCAATAGGCTTCCTGTGGAGTAATTCGCAGCCCATGGAGTAAGGAGTGTGGCCAGAGACCAGAGAGCTGCACCCCATGCAATTACTCGTTTTCCTCCATATTTGTCCACTAAGGCTCCTCCAATAACTGAGGAAAATATATATCCCCATAGAAAGGATGACTGCATGAAGTAATAGCACCTCATCATCAGAAAAATACTTAATTGATCCAACTGTGCTAGAACATAACAAGAAGTATAGCATGAATTTCATCTGCAACCTAAAGCTTTTTGTCTGTTTTCACTAAGAAAGAGTTTGCTCGTAAATTTGATTGCATATTTGGAAAGTTTCAAAATGAATTCCATCACCCCCTACGAATATCAGTCACTAAGTCGTCAAAATAAAATGAAGAGAAAGGTAGATTATCCATCCATTATTGCCAGTAGTTTAGCACTTCCAAAAGTTATGCTGTCAAACAATTAATAATTTCATGTATTCGTCAAAAGGTTACACTTGCTATCTACAAAGACTAATAATAATGTATAAAATAGAGCTTCCATTTCTTGCAGAAACAAACAGCTGTACAAATAGAAGTATATGAACTGTATCTGCTTCTGCCTTTTTTTTTTTAACAACCATTTTGGAGAGAAAAGGGAGATGGCGGTTCGCATATCAAGGAATCACTATCAATACAGAGTCAAGTGACAACTACACTTACTTTTTCATTTTTGTACTTTTCTAAATTCTACTTTCATTATTTACACATACGTTCTTCGCATTGTTTACATATGTTTATGTACTATCGTCAATTGATAGATGTATAGCCCTTGTTTGAGCCGCATTGTTTGGAGATAATGTATTTTCGATAATGATTATTTGGAGAACTTGTAAATTTGAGAATAACGAGGCTCAAACAGTGGCTTTGTAAATTGTACACAAAAGGCCTGGTCAATCAGTCAAAAATTCATTGAGGCAATGGACCTGGTCATTACTTGGGTTCACCTAGGCCTTTTATCCATTATTTTTACAGGTTTACTGTCATTTTTTTTAGTAAAATACTGCAACTTGAGAAAAGAAAGCCACATATTGTCATTTAATTTTCACATGACATGATATGACTAACCTAAAATGCTTTTACAGTTATTAGTTTATCGTACAAGCCTAAATTATGGGCTTTACATTAAAAAAAAGAATACATTCTTCAACAGTGATTTGACATTATTTCAACCACACATTCTTCAATAAAATAATATTACACACAAATCTAAAACTTCTTTTTATTTTTAACCATACATTTTCTATTAATTTGACGTGAATAATACATTTTTTTCTAGAATGTGGCTCAAACATGGACTATATATCATAGTCTTCTGTCATATAAAGACAAGTGCATAATTCCTCAACTAATTCATGGTCATGGATCATATCACCAAGATAATCATTGTTTCTTCTTGTATTATTGTTTGTGCATTATTAGTTATAACCCTAATGACAGCTATACTGTTTTGTTACGTTGGTTACAGCATGAAATGATGAAATAGTACGGAGCAAAGTGCGCATCATTATATGGGTAATTGCAATCCCCCATCTCTCAAATGGATTCTACTCTGATAGCTCCAAATAAACTAAATACATGCATTAAGATTCGAAGGATTCCCATTCCGCAGCAAACACGGACACCTCACCTTATTACCCAAACTAGTTACTAAAAAACATCAAATTTTTATAAGGATAGTGTGTCCATGAAGAATGTCAATCTTTTACAATTTCATGACCAAAGAGTCGAGCAATATTGGGGCATTCACCCCCCTCACAAGAGGCTCGAATAAACTTCAAAAATCTGACTTGGTTATAGGTTCCACTAAGTAAACCTTTCTTCATCACACGTTCAACTATAAAAAAAAAATTTCATTAGTAAATAATGAGACATATTTTCCGCAATTTTTCCCTCAATCTGTGAACTACCATTGCCCTTGCCTCCCCTCCAAAGTTCAAACATTATATG